AAGCATGAAAATCTTGGAAGCTATTTGAGTTCTAAAGTTCCGAAATTGAAAGAGTTAATTGGGATAAAGACAAATGGCAATCTGAATTCTTCTTCAATTAGAGTGCTGGCCAATGTGATGCAGACTCTTGAAAGGTGTGACTTTAACTTTCATTGATGTTGTATTAACTTACCTGATGTTACTTTTAAGATACACGGGGCAAACAGATACTAAACTTGCCTTTTGTTGCGTGCCATTCTCAAGGGTAGTTTTTTTTTTAATCCTGTGTACTACTAGAAGAATGTTTTTTCCCTCTTTTTTCCCTTGATTTGATATCATTTGTGGGTAGTCTTGTTATCTAACTTATTGCAAACATTTCTTTACAGGATTGAGTTCAAAAGCAATCATGGGGAATGGATTGACTCGGTGAAGCCAGATTTGGATCCTGCTTTAATAGAGCAGTTAAATGAGAAGTTGGAGACATCAGATACAGTAATTGAAAACCTCAAGTCTGTTAGAAATGAAACCCGTATGGCTATTAATTCTCTTTTGAAGGTAACGTTTATGAAAGGGCTATTATTGCATTTAGCTTAAATTGAATTTATTTATTTATTTTTAAACTTTGTACTGCGATCTTATTTCTTCTTTGATGTTTTAATAAATATTGAAGTACATTTCGTAGTCACTTCTTTTGTTGGTATTATTCCCACCCCAATATTCTTTGAGACTACATTTCAAGTTGCTTAGCTTGGTTTTTGCATAAAAATTTTCACTTTTCTTAGGATGATGGAGTTCTGGTCATCCCAACCACTGCCGATCCTCCTCCTAAACTTGGTGGAAAGGAGATTTTTTCAGAAGAGTACCAGGGTCGTTTATTTAGTTCATTGTGCATTGCTAGTATATCCGGTTGCTGTCAGGCAAGCTTCCTCCCACGATCTTCCTTCTTCTTCTTCTTCTCTCTCTCTCTCTCTCTCTCTCTCTCTCTCCTTCCCTCTCTTTAAAAAAGAAAAAAAAGTGATTGGTTGCATTTTGTTTTGGAGTTAGGTTTTCTCTTTCATGCTAAATTTGCCACCAATATGATTTAAGTTTATCTTATTTCAGGTCACCTTGCCACTGGGATTTCATGATAAATGTCCTGTATCTGTATCCTTCTTAGCCAGGCATGGGGCAGATCGCTTTTTACTAGATACTGTACAGACCATGTACAAGTCTCTAAAAGAGGAGGCTGAGGCTGCTTCCAAAGCCACATTCTCAAAGAATGCTATAAGCCAAGAACAGTCGGCTGAGATTGCAAAAGAAAAGGTATTCTTAATCTGTTAGTAAATCACCTTTTTCTTTTGTCCTGAAATTTCTGGCGCCCTTTAGACTTGTTTTTTTTATGCAAGCATATATTCCTGCTCTTCTGCCTCAATTCCTCAGGTTACATGTTCGTTCGCTGATGTACATTTTTTCTGCAGTTGGGTCATGTGTGACCTTCTATAATTCATTCTCTCTTCTCTTTTAAGTTTGACCAGGATTTCTGGATGTTATTCATGTTGCAAATAGTTTAAAGACTGCTGTCTCTCTTGATTACTGGTTAAGAATGAACTAGTTTATGTGGGGTTAAAAAGTATTAACAATTTAATTTTATATGAATGTGTCTGTGGCCAAATGTTCATCGTATTCAAATTAGTGTTTAGTAATTGATATTCAACTGACCTCTCGACTAGTAATTTATATTCAACTAACCTTTTGATGCCAAGTTGCAGACTTGACTGTAACATATATGACGACTTCCTTACCGTCATGTTAAATTGGCTGTGTGAGGTTACATAAATATTTTCAAATCTTTCATCAAATAGTAGAAGGAATTGAATGTTTTGTTTGCTGCTTGTTCCCCACAACCCTATCGATCTTTCTTGGTGAACTAAATGCCACAACAAAGATTTTTTTTATTACTTGCCATATTGCAGTAGTTTCATAATATGTTGCCAAAAAGTTGTTCATAAGGCTCCACGTTTACCTGCTGGTTTTCTTTTAATGTCCGTTTGAATTTTCTTAGAGTTTGTTATACACCATTCTATTTATTCTGATAGTCTTTGTTAAATCTTAGCTCAATCTTTAACTGGTATGTGTGTACTCCGGAATACCAGGGCAATCAAGCATATAAAGAAAAACAATGGGAGAAGGCTATTGGTTGTTACACTGAAGCCATCAAGCTCAACGGCAGAAATGCTACATATTACAGCAATAGGGCTGCAGCATATTTAGAACTTGGACGGTATATCCATTTCGTCTATGTTTTTTAATTGAAGCTTTCATCTAATCTCCATACCACTTCCAGAGGCTTATGATCGTTTTTTTCTTTCCTTTGTGTCCTTTCAGGTTTCACCAAGCAGAGGCTGATTGCAGTAAAGCTATTGACCTGGATAAAAAGGTGATCCGTGTAGTAGACCTTTATACTGTGAATTAGATTGTAAATGGTCTTCCATTTGTCTGTTTATTCCCTGTGATCAGTCAGAAACTTTTGAAATGGTCTTCCATTTGTCTGTTCATCACGCTCATTTGCTTTAACACTTCCCAATCTTTTCTATTTTCCAGAATGTTAAATCCTATTTACGGAGGGGTACAGCGAGAGAGATGCTTGGTTTTTACAAGGAAGCAATTGATGGTAAGACGTTTCTTCTTGTTTCCTGTATTATTTTATGGCTTCCTGGGTGAACTTTGCCAAATCTCTCATAGCCTTTCTTTTAGGTCGTGGGTAAGCATTGATGAGTTCTTATTAGAATATTTCTTTTTATCAAGTTAATATTAGAATATCATAACATCTCATGTCAGAACAGATGATTAGTTGTTGGGACTGGTTTACAAAACACGTCCCAACTGAGTTCTTACCTGAAACTTTGTCAATGATACTGAGTTTTGTCAAACATTAATGATTCCGTTAAAACCAAATGTCACTTGCATCGCACTGTTCTTGGCCACAAACTCTCTTTCTGACTGGTTACTTCAACCCTAATCGATTCACACCACTTCGGTGTCACTTATGCCTTCAACAATTTTAAGTTGTTTTACCCGATCATTGTTTTGATGGTGAATTGGTAATATTTCCTGCAGATTTTAGTCATGCTCTTGTACTCGAACCAACAAACAAAAGAGCGTCGATATCTGCCGAGAGATTAAGAAAGCTATTCACAAGTTGATTAAGTGATAAACAATCTTCTTGGGACGGAACGATCGCTCATCTGGCAAGACCTTTGTTCTCTGCCATGAAGACCCATTCACTGCACACAGACGTCCAAGCTGTGGGAATATTTGGGAGTGCATTTGGAGCAAATAATGTTATCCCCTTGATTTTTGTATTCTGATTTGGTTAGAAGCATAGAAACATTGGTTATTATTTGTTAAAAAGCTATGTAATCCATTTTTGTCTCAACCAACATTTCTCAATGCGGATTGTAGTTGTAGCTGAGATGAGAAATGGTTATAGAATACTATTATGGTGATCGGTGAGTACAAGTTAAATGCTTTTGGAGATGTCTCTCTTCTGGTCAAGTCTATTCTTGCTCAAGTTGCATTAATTGGCATTGCAGAAATCGGCTGGCCTTGTTGGCTTCCAATTAAGGGCAGAATCTGTATGATTGTAATACAACTACAGATTGGGTTCTGACATCTTCAACATATATGAAATAATCATTTTACTCTTATATCTCATGTCGAATTTGATTCTTCCTCAGGTCATCCATTTAAGTCACTGCAAAAATGTTAGTCGGATAATGCATAGAAACAGGTTGAAGATATTTGCAAAGAAAAACTCCGAGGGACGTGATGAACAGGGCAATGATTTCTATGATTTTCAAGAACTTCCATTGAGACCATGCCCAATGAGCATCTATCTCTTACATCAACTTGGCTGAATACAAAGGCTTCATTCCATCGCAAGTAAATATTAACCGCTTTGACCGGTTATCTATTGCCATTAGTCTCACAGTTTTAAAATGCCTCTACTAAAAAGAGGTTTTCACACCAATATTTCATTCACAATCCACCCCTCCCCAATAATACATCTACTCGTGAGAGGTTTTCATTTCGTTCCCCTCTTCAACCGAGGTGAGACATAGCCCTTATGTTAGTGTTAGTCTTCTTCATTTCATCGACTGTTTTAGTTTCTTGATTATCCGGGACTCGAGTAGAGCCTCGGATGCAGCAGCATCATTTTCTCCGCCCTGTGACAGTTCACCAGTTTAGGTCCATCCGACACGTGTTTTGATGGCTAGAAAAGACAGCGTAACAATTCCACAGAACATCTGCAGCTATCATACTCTGTATTCAAATAAGCAAATAATTGGGCATTCTTTCCTGCATGATCTACAAATGTGAAAATTTACCCACGTAAAGCCAATGCCCCTTTAATTAAAGTCAGGCCTACATTTGCTAGGTAATCTGGATTCATCTGAATGTATTCAAATTTTAAAATACAAAAAATATTAAAACTATAATAAATATATTACTTTATGTTATAAATTCATTTTATTTTAGTTAAATTAAAATATGTATAATATAATATTTGATATTGAAAAATAATAAAAAATCTCAACATAATTTATTTTTGTTTTTTAGTTAAATTGAAAATCATTAAATGTTTGAATTTCCGGTGTTAATGGGGCGTAGTTCATAAGCTCATCCGGACCGTCCCATTATTTGCGCAACCTACAACCGGATGTCTTGGTCACCAATATCACACCTGGAACGACTAAATATAAAATTTATAAGAACATTAATCACCAATATCACACCTGGAACGACTAAATATAAAATTTATAAGAACATTAATGGCAACTAAAATCGCCATCAGACGAAGAAAAATTAATTATCAGCAAATAAATTATATCAAAAGACCCAAAAGAAAAAGGAAAAAAGACAAAGAAAGAACCTGTTCCAGAAAGGAGCTGTAGCCTCTGGGTCCCACGGAATTTGCTCGTGTTTTTTATTCTTATTATTTTTTTTGTGAAGTGTTCTAAATTTCGTATCCAAAATTTATTGGTATTTATAAATAGGAGGGAGTAAGCAACCATGCCGGATACTCCATCTTCGCCAAAGAGCGGTGGTCGGTTGGTGTTAATGGAGAATCTGCTCGGACTTCTCCGTATTCGCGTCATTCGTGGTGTCAATCTTGCTGTTCGTGATGTTCGCAGCAGCGATCCTTATGTTGTCATCAAGATGGGAAAGCAAGTAAGTGTTTCTCGTTGTTTCTTTCATGATCGATCACCTTCGTTTTTTGTTCGAATTCGAGGTTTTGTTTCTTTAGGTCGTTTAGAAATGTTGCTAGATCGTAAGAACCTGTTGAGTTATTGGCCATCTTTGTCGTTTGCTGAACTGCGGAGTAATTGATTGATTTTTTTTTTTTGGGATAATGGTCGTGTGACTGGTGTGATTTGTGAGGAAGGGTTAACCATATGTAATGATTAGTAATTGGTTGAATTTGAGGCTAGATTGGTGGTTATTCGATATGACTTGGGAAAACGACGCGAATGTTTGGATTGTTTTCATGGACTAAGTCTTAGAAACATACGAGGCTGCAATTATGGCGCACTCGAGGAGGAAGGATGGTTCGGCAACGGCCAAAAAAGTTTCGTTAAATTCTCCTGTAGGATCTCCAGAAATGAATATTTTGTGGACTGTGGCGGTGGACCGGAGCTGTTTTATGATACGAGTTTTATTCCGAAGAATGAGATGAATTAAACTCATGGTAGTTGAATAATTAACTCTAGGTTTTGTTACAATGTACGAACATCCTGAGAAATTGTTGTTACGGATTGTGATTTTTTAGGCAGGTCAATCAATTCCTCTGAAGATTTTAATCGTTCAATGAGCTATGGCGTTAGAACAATGAGAAAGTAGGAGATCTTAATATTAGATGTGAAATCTTGGTCGCCATCATAATTTGTACGTCTTAGTTTTTATTTCTTATAAGGAAAGGAGAGAGAGAGAATTAATTTTCATGTACAGTTGCTGCTTAATTCTTTTGTTCCTGTGAAACTCTGAATTTAGAAATTGAAGACACGGGTGATAAAGAAGGATGTCAATCCTGTATGGAATGAAGATCTAACACTTTCTGTCAGTGACCCGAAAATTCCCATTAAGCTGGTAATCTTTCTTTCTTTATTGTTTATTCTATACGTTTTTATCAAATAAATAAAGCTCTCGTGTTTCCTTTATGGATGTGAAGTAATATCTGTTCAATTGTATGGTGGTACCATTTTCCTTTACCAATTTTTCCCTGTCTCTCTTGTCTCCTTCAAATACATCAATTATGAAAGAAATTTGTTGATACTTGGAATTCATATGCTTCTGGAATTGATATGTAGTGGTGATCCATGAACGCATATTTTCTCGGTCAAAATGATATCTATTTGGTATGCTCTGCCATCAATCTGAAATGCTTTTTAAGTAATTTCCATGTGATATATACACCTACTGAGTTGTAGAGCTGACGAGTTCTTACCGTTGATCAATTCTAAGCAATAGCTATTGCTAATCAAGTATAAGCCCTTTTGCCCTGTGGATTAGCTGTAAGTGATCCTCTTTAGTCTCGAATGTTGCCGTCCATGAACCCCATACTTTGGTAACTCCGTATTATATTTTGTCGTGATTACTTTTATATTCTCAACAAGGACAGCCACCGGAACATTATCTCCCACAATATTGAATACTAGTTTGGACTTTGAAAATTCTACTTCCGGAGTTTGTTGCATAAGGAGATATGGCTCGTCAATGATGATTTTTTTTTTTCTCATGTGGGTTCTTTTCTTTGTCATGCTGTTTTAAAACTTTTCGTACAGTCCTAAACTGTATCGGCCCAAGCTCTTGTCTTATTTGGGTTTTGCCTCCATGCCAGACACAAAGAGGTGTGCCAGCGAGAACACTAGGCCCCAAGGGAGTGGATTGTGAGATCCCACATCGATTGGAGTGGAGAACGAAACATTCCTTATAAGGGTGTAGAAATCTCTCCCTAAAAGACGCATTTTAAAACCTTGAAGGGAAGCTCGGAAGAGAAAGCCCAAAGAGGACAATATATCCTAGCGGTGGGCTTGGGTTGTTACATAAATGTATGAAGAGAACATAGTTAGTGATGACCAATATTCCTACTATATTTGTGGCACATAATCTTAGCATCAAAGAAAGCTCGACTCTTTTGTTGTACTGTTTACGTTTGTGAATATGATGGACCGCTAACGAAGGCTTCTAGAGAAGAATGAAAAAAAAGGGTGAGGTCTATTTTATGAGTCAGTTGTCTTGGTGCCAATCAAAAATTAATTTCCATAACTTTCTTTATCGTTATCATGTTTCTTTACATTGCATTTCTTTTCTAAATTCGTCTCGAGCTGGTTTGCAGACTGTTTACGACCACGACAAATTTAGCAAGGATGATAAAATGGGATATGCTGAGTTTGATATCAAATCATTTATAGAAGCTCAAAAGATGAACTTGAAAAATCTTCCTAGTGGAACGACAATCTCACGAACGCTACCGGGCAGGCACAACTGTTTTGCTGAAGAGAGCTGCGTCATCTGGAAAGACGGTCAAGTTATCCAAGATATATACCTTAGACTCAAAAGGGTCGAATGCGGAGAAGTCGAAATTCAGCTGCAGTGGATTGATCTTCCAAACCCCAAAGGTTAAAACAAGATTTGGTTTATCAGCATCATCCCTGTGATTTTTACTTGATCGTAATATTTCTATCATTCTTATGATTTGAAGTACCCGTCTATATGAATCTTGATTTGGTAAGCTATAATTTCATTTTAATTAAACCACTCTAGATCTTATCGATCATATCTAACTTCAAATGATGTTTAGGAATATATTAGTGTTTTTTTTAGCAGTCATATATTATTATCTGTTGGTGCAAGAACAAATTTAGCCATTTATATCTTGAAGAATCTACTAAATTACTTTAATAAAATAATAAATATTCGTTTTATTGTATACTAAATACTTAAAGAATAAAATATATTCATTTTAATTCTCAAAAAATGGGCCACACCTAAGTAATGATAAGTGGGCCAACAAAGTACCCATCGGAGAAAGTTCGAGGCCCAATACAGCCCAATTTGGAGCTTTAGCTGATAATTCAGTTAAAAGAAAATTAGAATTTAAATAAAATTATAAATGATTTTTATTTTGTAATCATATATTAAATAAATGGTCCAATGACAAAATGGATTAATTATAATTTTATGGACAAAATTGAGGCAATCAAACATATTGATCAGCTGAATTACATTCGTCTTCACGTCAAAATTAGGGTTTGGACGAGGAAAAGAAGCATGAAACCATATGATTTGGGCATGCATGGAATTAGAAATGAGGGATTTTTGAAAGGGGACAAAAGAATTTGATTGGTTAAAAGTGGTTTGATTTTAGGGTTTGGGAGTGGGGAATTTGGGGAATTTGGGGAATTTGGGGAATTTGGGGTCCATTAAACATTTGTATGCTTTGCTTTGTGTTTGGTCGTCATGTTTCCCTCTCCTCCTCCTCCCTCCTCCACTAATTACCATTTGCTTAAGCTCCTCGCGTGCCCATCAACAGTGCTTCCACCACTCACTCACTCCCCTCTCTTTTAGCCCATTTCCCATTCTAACCCGCTCAAGTCGTCTTTCCTATCGACAACTCAATTCACAAACTTTAACTAATTTCATATCTGTATTGAAAAGAAGCTCTTCGTTTACCTTTTAAGTATATGTGAGATCCAACATCGGTTGGAGAAGGAAACCTATTCTTAGCAAACGTGTTTTAAAACTGTGAGGTTGATAGCGATACATAACGAATTAAAACGAACAATATTCATTAGTGGTATTAGTGGTGGGTTCCTTGTAAGAGTTTGAAAACATCTCCCTCACAGACGCATTTTAAAACGGTGAGGCTGATGATTAACGGGTCAAAACGAACCATATGTATTAGCAGTGAGCTATTTATAAGAGTGAGAAAATCTTTTTTTAATAGACGTGTTTTAAAATCGTAAGACTAGTATACCTAACATGTCAAAATTGATAATATATATGACTGTGTGATTGAACGTACAGAATTAAGATGCACCCATAGACAAGTAGTTTTAAAAGCAAATCCAAGTAAAATAATAATAATTATTGAAAGTTCCATAAAACGCTCCAAAACCAAAGCAAATCTGTCTTACAAACACTTTTCTCTCTCTCTCTCTCTAGACTGAAACAAGAAATTAGTTTAAAAAACACACGTGCTTTCCCATTCTTCTTCTTCATCGAACTTCCTCTGTTTTCCTCTGCATTTCTTCCTCTGTTTTCCTCTGAATTTCAAGTTCCTTGAAGATGATTACATTACTGGACTTCTACCATGTCATGACCGCCGTCGTCCCCCTCTACGTCGCCATGATCTTAGCTTACGGCTCCGTCAAATGGTGGAAGATCTTCACCCCCGATCAGTGCTCCGGTATCAACCGTTTCGTTGCCCTCTTCGCTGTTCCCCTTCTCTCCTTCCACTTCATAGCTTCCAACAATCCTTATACCATGAGCTTCCGCTTCATCGCCGCCGATACTCTCCAGAAAATCATGGTCCTCGTCGTCCTCGCTATCTGGACTAAGGTAATATCAAACTACCACCAATTTTTCCCAATGGGTTAGAATAAATGTTAATGTAGAAATTTAAAATTTTAAGTTAATGGGTTTGGGAGAATTTAATTTCCTTGTTCTATGATTCCTTTTTTAACAGGTGAGCCGGCGGGGGTGCTTGGAATGGACAATTACTCTGTTTTCACTTTCAACTCTGCCCAACACTCTGGTTATGGGAATTCCTCTGCTCAAAGGAATGTACGGCGACTTTTCCGGCAGCTTAATGGTTCAAATTGTCGTTCTTCAATGCATAATTTGGTACACTTTAATGCTCTTCATGTTCGAATTCAGAGGAGCTAGGAATTTAATCTCCGAGCAATTTCCCGACACGGCGGCTTCCATCGTCTCCATTCACGTCGAATCCGATGTCGTTTCTCTCGACGGCCAGCAAGTATTGGAAACAGAGGCGGAGATCAAAGACGACGGCAAGCTCCATGTCACTGTCAGACGGTCCAACGCCTCTCGTTCTGATATTTTCTCCCGCCGGTCACAGGGGCTGTCGTCGACGACTCCCCGGCCATCCAATCTCACCAACGCCGAGATTTATTCGTTGCAGTCATCGCGAAATCCAACGCCAAGAGGCTCTAGTTTTAATCACACTGATTTTTACTCCATGCTTGGCACCGGTGGGGTGGCACCAGCCGTGTCGAGAGGGCCGACGCCACGGCCGTCGAATTATGAGGACGAGAATCACGGCGGAGGAGGGAAAAGTGGGCCGAGATATTATTACCATGGGAACCCAGCGCCGCCGCATTACCCTGCTCCGAACATGGGAATGTTTTCACCGACGGGTTCAAGAAATAAGAGATCAACGGCGAACGGACAGGTCGGCCAGTACAAATCGGAGGATGGTAATAATAATAAAGATCTTCATATGTTTGTTTGGAGTTCAAGTGCTTCCCCTGTTTCTGATGTGTTTGGAGGCCATGATTATGGAGGTCCCCATGATCATAAAGAACTTAAATTGGCTGTCTCCCCTGGAAAAGGTTTGTTTTTTTTTTCAAAATTTTCTCGGATTCCGTACTAATTTTTGATCTCGCATCGGTTGAAGAGGAGAACGAAGCATTGTTTATAAGGGTGTGGAAACCTCTTTCTACCAGACATGTTTTAGTTCAAAAATGACAATATCTGCTAGGAGTAGACATGAGTCGAATAATGATTTAACGGGTTTGATTTTACAGGCGAGAGTGGGCCGAGACATAACGATAGAGAAGACGTGGAGCGGGAGGAGTTTAGCTTTGGAAACAGAGGGATGAACAGCAGCAACAATGGACATGAAATGGCGGCGGCAGAGAAAGGAGGGAACAATGGAGTGTCAAAGACAATGCCACCGGCCAGTGTCATGACAAGGTTGATTCTTATAATGGTTTGGAGAAAGCTGATCAGAAACCCCAACACTTACTCTAGCTTGATTGGCCTCACTTGGTCCCTTGTTTCATTCAGGTACTTTTTTCATTAAAGACATCAAAACTTTGGGCTTGGTTGATGTTTTTTTTGTTGTCTTTGTTAGGTGGCATGTTGAGATGCCTGCCATTGTAGCACAGTCCATCTCGATACTCTCCGACGCTGGGCTCGGCATGGCTATGTTTAGTCTCGGTACGAGATTCTTAAAACGCTCTAAACTATACACGAACGTTAACTTTGAATGATTCGTAAAATGTTCGATTTTGTTAGGTTTGTTCATGGCTTTGCAACCAAGGATCATAGCTTGTGGAAACTCCATAGCCACTTTTGCTATGGCTGTTAGATTCCTTGTAGGCCCAGCTGTAATGGCAGCTGCTTCCATTGCTGTTGGCCTCAAAGGCGTTCTCTTGCATGTTGCTATTGTTCAGGTCCTCTTTCGTTTCTCGTATTTCTATATTATTTCTACATTAACGTGATATCGTCAGTTTTGATTCTAAACCCATTGCATAAATTTTCTTTTGAAACAGGCTGCTCTTCCTCAAGGGATTGTACCGTTTGTGTTTGCTAAAGAGTATAACGTACACCCAGATATTTTGAGTACTGCGTAAGTTCTATATCTGGGAATGAGATCAGTTCAAACATAAGACCATTTCGATTAACGTTTATAATCACTATGTTGCAGAGTGATATTTGGGATGCTGATTGCACTACCAATAACGTTGGTGTACTACATTTTGTTGGGAGTTTGAAAGGTTTATGTTTAGACATGAAGAATTGAAGAGTTCGTTTATACGAGCAAAAACAAATGGAGAAGAATCGGCGCGCATTAGACAAGAAGATAACGAAGATTATTAACCGAGAAATGGAAAATAACTAAGAGATTTGAGATTTTTTTTTCATGAAGTTGTACTTAATCATGTTTGTAGCCAAATTGTTTTACATAAACGTTTCTTTCCTTTTGTTTCCTTCTTTTCTGTCGTTGTCTTCTTGTTTTTTTCCGTTCAAGAAATCTCATGTTGCAAATTCGAAAAAGATCGAGGATGAAAACGAAATAAGACTAAGTTTGTGTCCATCGTGTAAAACATAACTCAAAACTTACTTTTCGTGGGCTATGATTTGTATTTTTCTCGAAAAACATACGCAACGCCTTATACTCAGATTTGGCATTGGCTAACCCTAACTATCTCCCGTAAAATCACCACGTTACCTACTTGTCCCGACTGACTTATAGAGTGAACACTATCCCTACAAACCAACACGGGTTTTTTGTTTACACGAGGTCATTGCTCCAAGTCATGCACGGTTAACTATGTTGTGTCACTGAAGATTTATTCATATACCCGTTCTTTATATTACATTAATTTCTTCAAAAAAATTGGAGCGGAGGGCCCGACAGAGTCTAATTTTTATATGGTCCTTTTTGGTATATTTAGGTGACAATTCTCATATTTCCAAAAGCTTTTTTTGTTTTTCTTCCAATTCCTTTTTACACTCTTTTTTAACTTTTTTTTTTTTCCCTTCTTCAATACTTACTTGAAAATACCTTTTTGAGAGTTATCGTTTTCGTTCTTGGTTTGTGTTTGTACTTTGTACAACATTCCTAAACATCGTACATTTTTCTTTCCCTCTATGAATTATTGTTTGTTTGAAAGGAACGTGTACGAGTGGTTTAGTGACGTTTGGGACCATCAAGAATGAAGCGTGATTATCGATGTTAAAAGAGAAACGAAAATG